CTGATGTCTCTTCTTTTAACAAAATTAAAAATAACTGTCTAATAATAACTTTGGGGAATTGTAGGAAAATCTATTTTTAGCTTCAGAGACCTTGACCTACTTAGCTTAAAACTCCTACCAAGTGCAGATATCTATGGCAAAGAGCAACACACCAAATATTTCAGGATGAGGTACTATGAAAAAGAGTGTTAAATTGATAACAAAAGGGAACAGAATTTTAACAAACTTGCAATGGTATATAATAATATGAGTAAACCACTATAAACTGGAAGATATTAAGAATAACAGATACCGGAAAAAAACACTCATGTCAAAATTTGCTTACATTCTGGTAAAACCGACATTGTTGTAAGGACAAAACATTTATGTTGCCAGAGAAAAAAATTAGTGTAATTGCAGAGTTATAAGTTAGACAAACTTGTTCCACCTACAAAAAGCACGAAAAACACATTAAAGTCAATGGAAACCATATGACTTGCATGTACTATCACTATATGAGAAGGTAATAAGGTACACATGTAATAGAGCCAGAGTGAGTGAGAGGAAAAAAAAACAACAACACATAGTTGTCATATGTAATACACAATGTTTTCTCTGTGTAACTGATTCAATATTGGACAATATTTAGGTCAGACATAGATAGTGCATAAAAAATTATAATCAGTCACAGACTGTTTCCTTGCATTGATGATAACGAACCAGGAAAAAAACTTTCGCCTTTCATCGAGGAAAACTTTTTTTTACTTTAAAGTAATATAAACTATATACACATAGTATAATAACGTAATTACGTATCACGTGAAATCCACCTGGACTTATATATACACCTAAATTTAAATTTAGGTGTACAGAAGTCGAGGTGTGACGTAAAAACATGTGTTGCTTCTTTTTTCATGACTTCAAATGTTTGTGAATATAAATTTATGCATAAATTGTAAATAAGTTTAGCGGCAATTTTTTCCAAAATCAAGGGGATAAGGCCTCTGCCTAATTAAATGAGATTTAATAACATTGTTGTACCACCTTGCCTTTTAATGTTTGTTTGCCCAAAGTTGGGGGGTTGGGGAGTATTACGCTAATTTCAACACAGTTTTGGTCATATTTCTGCAGTCAGTTCACTTTACTGGCTTTCCTGGATAACTCACCGGTAATAACCAATTTTTCCTCAAGTGACCGACTATTAATATGCCACATGATGTCTGTATCAGTGATGAGAAACCGATGAGAAACCGTTACCCTTTATAATCATCACAAACACATGAAAACCTTTAACAACATGATAAATGTTTGCAAAAAAACAAACAGATTCTACCATTAACCGGAAAACAGAAATCAATAATTCAGGGTAGATAATCCCGTCAGCTGCATGCCAAGAATTATCACACAGACAGAACATTTTGGAAACATCATATCTAAACATATTGTGGTAAAGAATTATTCATGCACAGATTGTTCGCCTTTCCAAGTTTTATCAATGCCTATCCTGTCTGTGAATCAACAGTTCTTACATTCCTTTCTCCATTCTTCCTATAGAAATATACATTCGCATCTGTAGACTAACCCATGCCGACTTCAAAGCAATCGAGTCTTGCCAAAGAACATGTAGAATAGACAAAAGTACAGAAAAATTTGAAATTATAAACACAAGCATCTTCTGTGTTTTATTTACATGCTTCTTCTAATTGGATTGTCATTCCTTTAGTTATATGCTGAATAATTTACAGAAGTACACCTTTATAAAAGTATTCTGCAAGGTAAATGACCCTCCAGGCTTGTTCACTTGAAAGAAGGTTTAGTGCTATTTTCACACTTCAGCTAAATTAGATATCGGTCTATATTTCCATATTCATAATTACATTTGTCGTGTGATTTACGGCTATTTATAGGCTAATAAAATTCAAATATCTTGGAAACAAGCCATAATGTTAGTTTATATTTTTGTTTGTTTCAGTAACTTTATCTTTAAAGGACTCTATTGAAGTTCTTTGACTTGGCATGATCGGACATATTAAGTGTCAGAGATTTGTGTATTATTTGATGTACCGGTACGTCTGAACCAATAACTTGTGTGCAAATTTTCAGCTCATTCCCTTATTTATTCTGTTTTTCCAGTATATTCATTTTTATAGTACAAAATGACCAAAATTTCACTTCAATTGGGCATAGAAGCGCATAAAAAAATGGTATTCAATTTAATTCTGAGCATATCTCTTTTTTATCCATTGCAGATTTTTTCATTTTACATGTTTCACTTGATCTATGAAAAAAATGTAGGCTTTTTTACCCAGTTGAGCTCCTTTAATAAAAGTTCAGCTTCAAATTTTCAACATAAATCATTTGGTTCTTCTATGTGCAATTTTTCCAGGAATGACTTTAATAATTTGTTGGCAGTTTAAAGAACTTTGGAGCATGATAAGAAGTTTGCTTCAGCATACCAGGGATATTAACTGGTCAGGCAATATCAATTTAACACAATCAAAAATAGTGAATGGCATGTGTGTACCAGCCGGCAAAGCTCTGAACAGTTATCATAGGTGCTACAAGTGTTTGTTGTGCGGCTGCCCTCAGATTTGTTTACTCTTGCCACCAGAAAAAATACCATATAGGCAGGCATTACGAGTGTTCTGTCAGGGTTAGAGGTTGGAAACTGCGTTAACTAAAAGAGTTCTCATACTACATGTACCATATACCTTGTATATTTTCTGTCTGGCATTTTGGCCTTCACTCTTGAAAACATTGTAAAATCTCAGGAAAAAATGGCCAATATTCTTATTGATATCTGTTTAAAATACCTGAGGTTTTCAGCATATACAAGCAGTTTTTATGTGTCTGCTGCAGCCAGCATTTCAACAATGTCTAGCTAAACAATAGCCTTCTGAAACAGTGGGAGCAGATCTTAAAATCTTAAAATAACATCTACTATTCTATTTTCATGTCTGGAAAAACATCCAAACAAATGGTGAAATTGTCCTTGCTCTATCCATACTGATAAAATGGATGTTTATTTTGTAAAAACGTAGATTGTTTTATTTTTTTTATTTTGAAGTATATTTGATCTACATTTCAAAAATATAAACAAGGAGTTATATATATTGATCTACCAGACCTTGCCTGACAAGGCAAAACATATCAGGATTATTTATCTTCGAGTTATAATTAAGGAAAGCCGTAAATAAGGCCCATGATCTGGCACAGCTAATGCCTCTGTTAGTTACCAGACCACTAACCAGTTAAATTATTTCAATCCTGTTGACCCCAAGAAAGCCCTATCCCAAGAAAAACATATTACAAAAACCTTTACCAGGAATTATTCTGAAAATTCTCCAGATTTGTCTGTATAAAAAAAACCAGAAAATTGTCAACCAGACGGAAGGCAAAGATAAGGTAGGTCTCCATTTTTTCTTATCTTCTGTCTTTTATCATATTGTCGATATATAGGCAAAAATATCTTTTACATAGCAGGAACACGGCTTATTAACGGTGCTTTCGTGCTATATCCCTGATTGGATTAAATGAACCAGACATAAACTGTGTAGATCTGCATAAGTGACAAATGGCCTGTAACAAATTATGAGAAACAATTTATAACCATCATAGAAAACATTGTCCGCTTGATTGGTTAAATGTATGTAGATTCTATGTAAATCAAGGCACCAGATAAAAATATCCCGACTTATCCCTTGGAAATTACTGAGGAGAGCTTTTCCAACCAAGTCATTCTTGTTCATTTCATTCTTGGTAAAAATTGTAATTTTGTTGATTGTAAATAGTGGATCTAATCTTGGCAAGGTCAAATGAATATAACGACAACAAAGTAAATGTAAAATATAAATATCGAAATCACAAATGTTTAAATTGGGAGAAATTTGCTTCCACCTATCGTTACCTAAAATAGGTCCTGAAACTCCAATGTGAGCTTGTATTATATATTGGCTAGAACATTAAAAGCTTTCTTGCGGAACACTCTTGTTCATATAAAATTAAAAATTCTAAAAAATTGATATTACAATTCAAAAATCAGAACTGAGGCTCGTAATCAATAATAACTGATACATTACAGTCGATTTACAACTGCTCAACTCATCTGTGAATAATTATCGGATCAATCATATTACCCAGTAAATTTAACCTTCTATAAAATACGTCACCATAATCATCTTTCTATAGACAGTTTAGACAGGCAAATATGATATTATTTTTGCAAAAGCTTTCTGATTCACATGTACACTTAGCATGATAGATAAGACTATAGTTGCGTGAGACGCACTTTAATTAAAGAAAACTGAAACCTTAGTCACATGGTCACTCCTTTCCACTGAAGCGTAAATAAGCCATTGCCCATAATTTAAAGTGTAGCTTTCTTGACCAATTACGGGTAGGGTAGAAGAAGAAAAAAACAAGGGGGTCAAGATGGCCCTAGATCGCTCACCTGACCCATCGAACTCATCAGAGCAATTACTTAGACAAGCATCCTGACCAAGTTTAGACAAGCATCCTGACCAAGTTTGCTGACAATTGACGACGGACATTAAACGATCCTAAAAGCTCACCCCTCATCGGAGCTTGAATGTAGGAACATTTTCCATAATTCACACTCTTAAGCTTTCAAATGGATCACTCTATCATTTTGACTGAGTTGTAGTCAGAATTGTATGTACATGTATATCAGAAGAGTTTTACAAATAATTATATTCAAGTATATAAAATCATGAGGAAACAATTTCACACAATAACTTTTATGTTCAGGTAATGGTCATGTGACTACCCTCCTGCTCAACTATTGGAGGAAACAGCTCTGATGCTCCTCATGCAAGATCTTGGAACTCAATGCCATGGGCCTTCGGCATGAAAGCTCACACGAGATAGCTGGATTCCTTGCACGAAAAACTTTGTGTGTATTTCTAAAGCAATTCAGAATCCATGTAGTGAGGGGCAAGTAATTATAAACTTTTGTTCAGTTCAGGTTATAAGAAAGTTAAGACAAAGTTTGATATACTTACAAGCGCCTTGTTGACTTCGTTGGTGTCAGATGCAGGATATGGGGTATAAACCGCTAGGGCTATACAGTTGGCAAATATAGTCACTAGAATCAGGTATTCAAAAGGCGTGATCACTCGTTAAGGAAAATCTGTATTAACGTTATTAATATAAAAATAGTCATATTTCATTAACTAATTAAATCTGTAAGATATATAAATATTAGTTTTCTATACAAATGAATTACAATAACACTGCTTAAGGAGAGCAATATGTCTTCTGCAACTCATACTAGCAAATACTATGGCATTAATGATATTTTGTTTTTTTTTCAAGGCAATCCAGGGATACAAACAAAGTCTTTCAGCTACAACTTTAAAAATAAGCTTATCAGGTTGACTAATTGTTACTGGTAGTGCACCATGAAATTGGAAAATCATACAAATGTGACTAAAAACAGAAGGTAAATCTCCTAGATCCCATCTTTTAACATTTCTTAAAAGTTTTTTTACATTTCTTAAAAGTTATGAATACATAAGGACATTGCCTTAAGCTTTGAAATAACTATGCCCTAGTGATTCTACAAACTTTTACTTCTGTGAACCAAAAAAGACATTAGAATCACCTTGACCTTTACTTCAACAACTAGAATCACCTTGACCTTTACTTCAACAACTAGAATCACCTTGACCTTTACTTCAACAACTAGAATCACCTTGACCTTTACTTCAACAACCCAATGGCAAGATTTGAACTTATAGCCGTAAATAGCAAGAAAGTTGAAGTGTGCCACCTAAATCAATCAGCCATGATAGATGCCCCAAGATTACCTGTACATCAACTAGACATTAAATCTTCATTCAACAGAATGTAACAAAAATTATAGGCAGGAATCTAAGGAAAGAAATAAAATTCCTAACAAAAATTATAGGCAGGAATAGGAAAGAAATAAAATTCCTACTGAAATTTGTAACATTTTTTGGGAAATCCTGTATTTATCTGTTGTTTAATATTTCATGAGTTATCAAATTAATATGGGAAGATATGGAATGAATTACAAGCTGGTGCTGCACAGTGGCTGCTGCCCTAGTAACCTGATAATAAATATATAATTGCGTCCTAGAAACAAATGAGCCGCGTCATGACAAAACCAACATAATGGGTTTGCGACCAGCATGGATCCAGACCAGCCTGCTCATCCGCACAGTCTGATCAGGATCCATGCTGTTCGCTATCAGTTTCTCTACTTGTAATAGGGTTGGTAAGCGAACAGCATGGATCCTGATCAGACTGCACGGATGCGCAGGCTGGTCTGGATCCATGCTGGTCGCAAACCCATTATGCTGGTTTTGTCATGGCACGGCTCAAATGCTGTCAAAAATCTAAAATGTTTCTTAAATCATGTATTTTTAATTTAGTAATCACATTCTATTCCTAAAGTATGATTTTCTACAACTACATTTTAACAAACCATACAAGCCTGTTGTATCAAAATTGATTTTTATGCAACATCTTTTATTGTTTTTTTGTTTTTTTTTGTTTTTTTCAAATTTTGAAAAATAATTGGATCAACGTCCTAAGCTACAAAAAACCAAATGTAATTATTTCTAATAAACAATTAATCAAACTAAAAGAAATGCTCTCTTTAACAAAGGCCTAGATTGCCTGCAACTAAATCACCACTAGAGGCTATGATTCACTGACAAATCACTTGAAATAATGCAGAAACCATTTCAATTTTTTACTTTCCATCTGACGAAATAGAATTAGCCATCATTCAGTTGTGTTCTTTTAATTCCTACCATTTAAAAATTTTTTTTAGCAATTAAGATAAGCATTAATAATTTTAAATATCTTAATTGTCTAAAAAAAAAGGATATTTCCATTCCACTACCCGTATACACAATTTGCGTATTGGATTTGTAAGGCTGAGACAACATAGTGCCCGCACAGGGCGGACATTTTGATTTTGTTGCTTTCTGTTTTGTCGTTTACGCGTCATGTTTGCAGCTCCTTGTGCGGCTGCTATCGCAGCACTCCAACCAGGACTGAGCGGTTTGGCATCTGTTGGAGATTGAAAATTGAGCCCACCACCGCCAGGTTGTGGGATCTGTGTGGGAACTGTGGTGGGACCGGGTCCGAGCCTCTGTCCACCAGGCTCTGGCGGTTTGCTGGCTGTGTTTTGGTATACGCTGTTTGATGGTGGGCTGGAATTTGTAGATGGTCTTTCATGGTTTTCCCCTGAAAAAAATAATTATAAATTATATTCATTATCAAAATGAATTGTACGGATGAACGAATGAACGAATTAATCCTACTGATTTATGTTTATTGTTTATTAAATGAAGCATGAAGAATAATTCTGAATGAATGATTAGAGAATGAATGAATGAATAAGTGAATGACTGAATAAGTGAATGAATAAGTGAATGAATGAATAAATGAGTACATGAATACACATGACTGGCTCTACCTAATATTCATGAGGATAGGTTCAAAGTATGAGGTGGTGGGGTTATTGGTATTATAGACTCTGTAACATTATAATATAGAATGAAAAACGATTGTGATTTTTTTCAGCTCATATAACTTAATAATAATCAATTTCACTTCCACTGAGATTAATGATCTTTTGTTTTTCTACAATATAAAAAATTCCTTAACATTCTATAAATAAGAAAGTCTTCGAACATACTACTTTATGAGAATATGTAAATGTAAATATATTCTGTATGCACTTCCTTGAAATTTATTCAAAGTTGCCTAAGTGAGTGACAACATTACTCAGCATAAGACTTTTAGTGACATAAAAGCTTTAAAGATACGCAATAGATTTCATCTGTTATGCAAAAGAGAAAATTGCCAAACAGCATGCAAACTAGTAATTTGTTTCTTGGATAAATTCGGTACTTCATTTAAATTTTATACCATATCAAAGTGTGTTGATAAAATGAGGAAATTTATGCTGTTTTGAAAGCTTAACCACTCTTTTTATATCTTTATGCACAGTAACATTTTAATTCATTATTACAGTACTGCATTTTTTCCTTTCTAGATTTAGTTCAAATTTTGCTATAAGAATCAGTTCATTAATACAAAACAACAACTCAGTCTGTGAAACATTCTCACACAATTTAAAGCGGCCTTCAGATTTTACTTTTTGTTAGAATAACAATTCTGTGTTGTTTCAAAGTAAGTATTTCAGTAATTTTATCTTGAAAAAGTGCATCATATTACTGATAAGCCTAAATCTTCCAGTGCTATTTTAAGGTGTTAGTGATGTTCATTTCTAAAAATAGAAAACCAGGAAACAAATCATTAGGTTATGTTTAGACAGGGAACTGATAGATTAGAGGTATTGCAGGGGTTTCCTTATTGTTTATGTTTTTTAACATCAGCAAATTTCATTTTTCACCTTATAATTCCTTTGATTTGACGATTATTTGGAGCATATTTTTCTTTTTTTTAATAACATATCTAAAGTGACATTATGCTCATATTGGGCCATGTGAGTTATTTTCTGCTATTCATCCTTCATACCAAGTAAATTATGAAATTGAAAAGATCGATTATGGCAAAATGTAAACTTATTTTGACTTTCACCTGTCCACTACATTATAGACCCTTAGATGGGTACAATTAGAAAAGATGAATAAAATCTGATGATATCGCAATATAAAAGTAACAAGAATGGTTCAACCAAGAGCAAAACAGTCTCCACTTCCTTAAGAATTATAACAATTATGAACCAAGCTAAAACCATCACAATGATCCTCTGACAACTTATAAATCACAAGTTGTTTATTGAGTACAACTGGCAATTAGTTATACAGAATTTAGTTTAGTTCGATTGTGCAAGAAGGTATAAGCTTACAGAAACCTTTTTGAATTTGTTCCTGGTACCAACCAGTACTAAACAACAAGTTTTTTGCTCAAGGAAACAACGGTTTGCTTCAAACAGTGGTGTAGAACTCAGAAGGACAACAGTCCTTAAGATTACTTGTCCCATTGTGCTAACCACTAAGCCGCAAGAGCCCTGCTTGATTATTAACACTAAGCTTTTTTCACATGCAAATCCAGGGCTTGGTGCAATGTAACTCATATGGATTAAAGGAGTTAAGACCCTTTCACACCAAGCTGTTGAAATGTACAATGCCGGACAGAATTCTATAATACAAAATCACAAGCATATATTATAACTTAATAAGCACAGTATACATTTTCATTACAAACAAATAGTTATCATCAAAACTCATCTATTCAAGAATTTGAATCACGGTAAAGAACTGAAGGATGGTTAAGAAAACCGGTTTTTATAACCAGTTCCTAAACAAAACCTCATAACCGTCAACATATTTAAACATAAAACTAAAATCAAGTCGTGTAAACTGACACCATATCACTTAATATGTAAAGCCAAACCTTCACACACGTTAAAATCCTCCATTGGAAACATTGTTTGTGCACTTTTATGTCCGTAAATTCACATGACATTATTACTGATCGTTCAAGACAAAAAAAATTCTATCGGTCATTTTCCAAATGACACTTATAAAATAAAAAAAACAAAACAGTTTCTTAGTAGCTATTAAAATCCACCCTATATTGGGTCATATCTGTCCACAGCTACCATTACAATTTTCCTGTCTTTTGCTGATTTTCTCTATAAAAATCAATACATATTCAGCACTTAGACTTCATGAAGACATCAGGTGTATAGAGAGACTCACTTTAACACTTTCACAGTAATTTTCCCCAGAAGGCAATATCTGCCACTGAATTTCACAAAACGTCTAATGAAGTTCGCTGGGAGAAAAAAAAAGGAAGGATTTTAAAAAAATCCAAATAAAAATGACAACTGAATGCTGCAATGTATAGCAACCTTTAGCCTGCTGGCAGAAACCGATAGAACTCTTGTAGCCAGTGCTGACCATTATCAGTTGACAAATCCATGCTGCCTGATCTGACATGGTCTGCACTGTTCCCTATTCACTTATAAATACCAGATAACAAAAATTTTCCCTAAAGATCCTTCTTATGACAAGAGTTAATATGTATATCAAATGCTAGAGGTTGGTTTTCAAGGCACACCAAATAGGACATAAATGCCAACTCTCCAGCTTTACACTGGTGAATGAGGACCATGGGTGCTCCTCGAACTATTCTAATATTTCAGGTACAATGTAACCAGTGGCCTAATTAGTACAACAAATTTCCCATTTGTTCAATGGATTGCTTCTTCACATGAAAAATGTTATGGTACCATCAAGATCCTAACCCTGGTTTAAAGCCTGCAACTTTCACCATAACACTGTGGAATTCATGAAGTTGAGGGATCGCCTTTACTTATTGATTTTTGGTATCATATTTTATTTCTGCACATATTTGTTTTTCATACATATACTGTATATAGTGAAAAGGGCAACATTCAATAAAGGTCATCGGAAATGCTGAATGAACATATTACGAACTTGTTCATAGAGTTAAAGATCAACACGCACTAGGTACACTCCTGACATCAGCTTTTTTCTTTAGCTGTGAGAAAAAAACTTCAAAAAAAATTTACTTTTCTCTAATTTAGTACTCAAAATGTTGACATAACACAACAACATGTTGTTGTTTCATGATACATGTAAATTCCTGTCTTCATTTTGGCACTTTTCACTGATAGAGATTATAAACAGTCTCTTAATATAGCGAGTGATGCTTCAGTGTGTATTGTTTTATCGTATAATACAATGTATAATGTAATATAACAATTACGTGGGTGGCTATTCTCTAAAATTGTCATCATTAACTTTATTAACCCTTATCACACACAAGAAAAAAAGCTGCAGTTTTGCAGGCAGCTTTTAATGAAAGATTATCGTCTAGACATCAATATAGATGGACTATTCGAATATTAGGAATATTTGTTTTTTTATATCATTATTTCTTTCAGAACAGCTAATAATTCTAAATATAGAGCTCACTTAGGTTTCATATAGGATTTCAGGTTTTAAGTTGGCAGAATTTTTTAAAGAAAACAAGTTAAAAATACCATACAAGCCTAGCTACCCCTATCATAATCTTATTAATTTCTTTTTTTTTTTTCGTTTTTGTTGGCTGTTTGAATGAATGTCAAACTGACCAACAATTTCTTGGCATTTTCCAACTTTTCTGGGTGTAGCACTGCCCCTAAATCTACAAGTACATTTCACTTGCGACCAAAACCAGCCAACAGTCAACAGTCAACAACAGGATCAGTTCATGAAGCCCTCTTGGACATTTTAAAAAGGTTATCTTTATATATACACTGCTAAGCTCAGGAATCCTGCATTATATATACAATACAGATATAATGTTGTCCAAATATATCCATCGTTAAATATAAATATAAACCCAGTATTCTATGTTCGTACACTAATCAGTGAAAACTGCTGACAACTGACAAAATGTCCATCAGTTATTTAGGCGTCTATTCTGTAATTTGCCCAACAGATAAGGTCAGGAAATAAATTGGAAAAATTTGATTTGAAAAACCCATAATGATATCAGCATGACTATTGCTGGCAATCACAGACAGTAATTGTTTTTCCCATTTCTGAACCTAATCAATAAAACGCGAGTCGAGAGTCGTAATCTCTCAGTTGACATTCAGCGTCGGACATCACCCGGCATCATCTTAGTGTCAAATAATGCGATATATGTAATGTAATAACTGTCTCTGATGGACAACATTGACTTACATGTTATACTACAAAAAAAACTGGAAAACCTATATCAAAGCGTTTGACAATCTTGCCCATATTGATTGACAAGCGAGATTTTTCTTTATCAGAATATGCAAATGTACACATTGTTCGGTCTCTATTCATTTATAAGAGTTCCTGAGCAATATATCCCCGATATTAAGACCAGTAGAATTTCCCGTCATTAAATTTGCTTGATTAAATAGAAAAAATTGCTGGAAGGAATGCTATATACGAATTAAGTAATCTAGAAAATCTGTGTAGTCTAATAAATAGAAGCTAGCATTCTTTAATCTTCTAGATGGAATGGCTTGAATTCAGAAGCTAGAAGAGTAAACAAGTGCTCATCCTTTCACAATGGCACTTGTTAAATAGAGAATTTTACGCTTGTAATATCATTAAATTCATTGAAGCTGATTTTTTGTATGTGCAAAGAAGACTTTTTTACTTTTCATTCACTAAATTATAAAATTTGAGCCGCTAACATGTAGTGTAGAGACTCAGGGCACA